GCGAGCAGGGGCGCCTGCACTGCCCCCGGGCAGAATTAAGCCACGAGCAATCAAATTAGTTTCACCTTTAAAGTTTTTTAAGAACACGGCAAATACGATTTCTATAGCAAGCTGGTTTTTAGCTGGCCTGCCAGCTCTGTTCCTTCCAATGGAAAAGCAGGTGTATTTGCTCATACCCCGGGAGGGCTAGCCTGGAGCTTCGGTGAGATGAAGATCCCCACTAGCCCCGCCCACACTAAGTATGCTGAACATCATAGCTCCGTAGTTCATATGTGGAACAAGACTCATAAAACCTCATTTCCTTTTCTAATAATGCGACTGACGCATGTGCCTTTAGCTGGAAAAAAATGCTGACTGCTACCACAGTTCTAGTATGTCTCTGGTATCGCCACAGTTGGGTTTAGGTGCTCCCCCCCAGCGGTCTTGTGGTCAGAAGATAAAAGACATCTTCCTCACCCAACAGATCTCCATCAGTGCAGAAGGGGGGAGCCAGAGGTTTGCAGTTAGAAAGTTTTAGCACGTGCCCCTGGAAGGCAGGCACTGTGCCAGGTAACACTGAGTTAAATAATGTGCATAGGCTTGAACAGGCCCCTTTCCTCAAGAAAAAAAAAAAGACTCAAACGGCTAGAGAACTAAAGTATATAGAAATTAACAGCTGCTGGTGTTATTATATTGATTAAATGTGCACACATTCCAGGAAAACAGTCAAGGGGATTTCTTGGGGCTCTAAGGTGCAGCACTAAATCTGGCTGTGGCAGGTAAGAGAGGACACTCTAAGCCTGCGAGGTCAAGGTAAGGTTTCTAAAGTTACTGCTCCGAACTTCATCAACACAAACCTGAACAGCACACTGAAAGACAGGAAGAGTAGCTTGGTAATCAGTTCACCCAAACCCCACACTGCCCTACCAATTAAGAAATAGCCACCTGTGGAGCAATGGGAACTGTCACTTACCAGGAGAAACAAGTGGGTTTTTTCCCCTCAACAGCTCCGACAGCTGTACACAGCACACCCAAGTACATAGTTCTGGTTGCACGATGGAGGCGGCCAGCATAGCCATGCTCATGGTGCTCACTATATACCAGTCTATCAAGCTGAAAATTATATTGTTAAAAGAAAGCTTTTATTCTGTATTTATCTGAACTGCAGAACCTCATGTGCTTTTATTTAAAGAGTTTTTATAGTGGTTTGTATTTTATTACATTAAACTTAATTTGTTCCAAATAAATAAAGTTTATTGCAGCAGAAAGCAGTGCGATGAATTAAAATCCTTTTTAAAGTAGCATATAAACCTTCTCAGAAGGGAAGACTGTGGCTTAATGCTCTCCATTAATAACAGCCTTATTAGTAGTAACTCCCATGAAGTGCCAAAGGAGACAAGTCATTATGCTTAGGCAGCGCTCACTGCTTTAATCGTTCTACACTGGCACAGGGCAGCAACATTCTCAGATTTTCCCTGAGAACAGGGGACAAACTTGTGCTATGCATGCAGTTGAAACAGCCTGTGTAGATCTGTCAGGCAAATTCAATCTTCAGCCCTGTACTAACGCAACAGGTGCAATAAACTCAGTACATGACCACACTGCTACAACACGAAGTCCTCCTTTAGTAACTGTGACGGAGGGGGATACAAGTTTGACACGCACTGAGCCCTGTCCAGTGATAATTACAAATCTTTATCAAAATGCTAATCTAATTGTCAAATAAAAAGACTTTCTTTAAAAGTGTAAAATGCTCCCACTGCAGCCCAAAGTACTACTATCCCCCAGTTGCTCGCATTATCCTTTTAAACAAGTGGTATGCAAGTTTTCCTGATTAACTACCATACAAGGAGGAAGGCCCTAGGCTTTCTTCATTAACACCATGGCTATTTTAGCTAAGCATAGAATGGTTTTTTTTCCCCCTTTCCACAACTGAGGCACAGCATCAAATACTGTATACAAAATGATAACTTGATCCAAGAAAGAGAAAGTAGTTCCCGCTGCCCATCTTTTTACAGCCAGAAGAAACACTTAAGTGTACAACTTCCGTAGAGATCCTTCACAGGGCTGTTACGACTGTGAATAGAACTCATGGCAACGTAAGAATTACAGAAAGTATCCAACTGCTTGACAGAAGTAATACAATGACTAGCAACTGTTCTGGTACTACATAAAAGTAATTTACCTTGTAATGTAGATAGGGTCTGTTTTGCAACAGGGCAGCTGTCTCACAGCAAGAGTGAGCCAACACCTGTAAGATAATCAGGAGCATTTAGCAAATGGAATTATGCTCTGCAGGACCCAACTCCGTTTCTTGCAGAGGTGGATAAATCTAAGATCAAAATTGCAGAAAGACATCTCAAGTGAATGCTGCCCTGAGGAAAATGTCTCTAGCCCTGCTCTGCCACTGCGTTCTTAATGTGTCACTTAACCAACCATTCAACACCCCCCATCCTCCCAACTAAAGTCTGCTAACATTCCAGGAGAGTAAGAAATGTGTCTTGTTGATGCTGGAGAAACTGTTGCAGCAACATAAAGTAATTGCCACAGCAGTTTTACTTAATGATAACTGCACTTCAAAGACAAGGAACTTCTGAGTTCTCTAGCGCATTTGAAGTTGGGCACCAAAAAATCATCAAGTATTCAGTAACTATGGCTTGGATTCTGCCTCAGACCCCTTCATCTTTCAGATTAGCCTAATAAGGCTATTACTCATCTTTCAGATTAATATTAACATTGATGAAAAATCCAATATGGCAAAAGTCAGAGAAAGTGCCAAAGGGAAATGAAATACATCTATACAGCACTGGGTTTAGATGATATGGGCTAAATTAGACTTGGACCTGCACAACTGAACCTGTATTATTCAGTGAACACCATCCACTGTGTATGCTGAATGAAGCAAGAGTCCCATAGAAAAAAAAAACAACCCAGCACCTGATAATGTTAATAATACACAAAGGAAAAAGGAAGAAGACAGCTTTACGTTTGCCACCTCCTAATTTTTGAGTACTTGCCTTTGGGATCTTGGTGTTTCATAATTTAGAAAGTGTTTTAATACTGCCTGGTAAAATGAAGACATAACACTTCCCTCCCCCC